AATGTAGGAATCTATTATAAGTTGACCATTCCCAACTAGAATATCTGAATTTTGGGCACTGGCTTTGTAAGTTGCCTGGACACCAGTATCCAGTGTAGGTACTGGTTGGAGTCCTGGCTGTTCTACTTCCAATCTAGTTCCCTGCTAATGGCTTAACAAAATCAACAGAGGATGGTTCAATTACTTGGGCCTCTGCATCCATTTGGGAGATCCAAAGAAAGCTCTGAATCCTAGTGCCCAGTCCTAGCTGTCGCAACATCAGCCAGTGAATGTGGGTGCTCATTCTCTCTCTAATTGTGACTTTCAAATAAATTTTAAAAATCACAAATAACATTTGAAATACAGAATAGCCTAACATGATCTCACAAGTAGAAAATTCTGTACCATAAAACTTTGTTTCATGTACAAATTATTTGCAATATCTACCTTCAGGCAAAATGTAGGAGATATATATTTTAAAAACAGGAATAAATGAATTTTGTGGGTAGACTCAGATATTTCTCCAAGAAATATGTATATATGTCTATAATGTTATACATTATATATATATGTAACATGGATTTTTCACATATGTTAAAATTGTCAAAAACAGTGAAATCTCCAACAGTACAGGGCCCAAGCATTCTGAACAAGAATTCCTCAATCTGTGTTTCTGTCTTCGTGGATTTTGCTTCTTAAGAGGAGAGCATGTGTCTTGCAATTCTACACCCTGTGTGTCCCCTAAAGAGCCGATGTGCTAATAAGCACGCCCAGACTGAGTTCATGGATTCTGGCCCTGGGTGAAAGAAGAGGTGTGAAGGATGGGAGGCCCGAGGGTCAGCAGTCCACACTGGGTTCTGTGACAAAGGGCACCCCTGAGGTTCACCTCGCACCCCTCAGCTCACGCCTGCCTTGCCCCAGCCCTGCACAGCAGGCCTTCTGCATGGATTCCATCACCCTGTCCACAGCGCATCTTCTGCCTCACACTTTGCATTACCCTACCTCAACACAGCCTCTACATATTCCTACACCTGAGTTTATAAATATTTTTAGTAAGGAAAGCACAGAAATATGTCAGGAGGGTGGGGAGTGAGAGCGGGTAAAGGTCCAGAAGTCCCATGACGTTTCTTCTTCAGAATGCCAACAAATGCGTTCCTTCAAAACAAAAGGAGCGATCTGTTTCTTTAAAGTTGTAATTACAGAGAAAGAGAGACAGAGGAGCAAGAAAGAGAGAGGTCTTCAATCCACTGATTCACCCTCTAAAGGGCAACAATGACCAGTGCTGGGTGGGGTGAAGCCAGGAGCTTCTTTCTGGTCTCCCACTGGGTGCAGGGGCCCAAGGACTTGGTCCATCTCCCAATGCTTCCCAAGCTGCATTAGCAAGCGGCTGGGTCAGAAGTGGAGCCGGAATTCAAACCAGTTTGAAACAGAAGAAACTCTGTTTCTCCTCTCTGTGAATCTGCATTTCCAATGAAAATAAATAAGTAATTCTTCTTTTTAAATGCATATTTATTTTTTTTATCGCAAAGTCAGATATAGAGAGGAGGAGAGACAGAAATATCTTCTGTCTATTGATTCACTCCCCAACAACCAGAGCTGAACCAAACTGAAGCCAGGATCCTGGAGCCTCTTCCGAGACTCCAACATGGTTGCAGGGTCCCAGGCTTTGGGCCGTCCTCGACTGCTTTCCCAGGCCACAAGCAGGGAGCTTGATGGGAAGCAGAGTTGCTGGGATTAGAACCGGCACCCATAAGGAATCCTGGCGTATTCAGGGCGAGGACTTTAGCTACTGGGCTACCTTACAAGGCCTGAAAATAAATAAATAAATGTTATAAAAAATAAAAATAAATCTTCCAAAGACAGCACTCAAGGGGGTTCTGTGGGAGAAATAGAAGCAGGAGGTGTTGGGGGAAGGGGTGGGATCAGCAGTCACTCCTCAGAGGAATGTCTCGGGGATGTTGGGGGTCTGGCAAAGGAGCGGTGTTTTCAATGCCAAGGTGACCCCAGAGCACAAGCGGGGCTGCGTACCATGCCTGCTCCTGGGACTCCACACAGGCCACTGTGGGCCCTATCTCTGCACCCAGCTGCTTTGTAATCCCAGAGAGAAAGTGAGTAATCCAAAGGAAGGGGCTCCCCAAAGCAAAGGGAATATTTATTTTAAGGAGTTTGACGTCTATAGGAAAGGGGCAAAAAAAAGAACAAGAAACCCCAGCACAGCCTGAATGGGGAACCATGACATTCACAGAGCCTGGCCATTGTGTCAAGGGAAAAATTCCTCAAGATTGTGTTTGTCCAAGAAATCAGACAGTTTACGGTCCCCGAGTCAAAACACTCAAGGACTGGAAGCCAGAGCTTCCTGGGCTGAACCCAGTTACTAAATAAAATGCAAAGGAAAGAGCAATTAGCTGCCATGAATTGTTGTTACGAGGGTGGGGTTGGAGGCCACGGCTCTAATCCAGTAGATGCAACGACGGAAGAGGCTCCAGCAGCAGGCGCTGAGGTCGCCCTCTGCCCAGTGGCCACCCTGCCTGGAGCTGCAGGGACATTACTGATGGGTCATCACCAGCATGGGCACCCTGGGACACAGAGAGGTAGGGAGTCCGGCTGCTCTTGCAGGTCAGTCAAGCTAGTGTGAGGCTCATCCCAGGCAGCAGAGGAAACTCCTCTTCTGCTCTCACCAATGTGCATAGTCGTTTGCCCTAGTGGCCTGCAAAGGATGGCCTCCCAGGGCGTGAGGTGTGGCCTAGGGTTAAGACACCCACATCCTGGGGCCCAGTACCATGGGCATCCCGTATGAGTGCGTTTGAGTTCCAGCTGTTCCAATTCCCATTCAGCGCCCCGACAATGTGCCTGGGAAAGTCACAGTACATGGCCTAGGTACTTGCAACCATGCCATCCGCGTGAGGGGCCTGGGTGGAGTTTCAGGCTCCTGACTTTGACCTGGCCCAGATACTGCCACGGAGTTATTTGGGGAGTGATATCTCTCTCTCTCTCTCTCTCTTTCTCTCTCTTTCTCTCTCTCTCTCTCTCTCTCTGTCTAGCTCTTCCTTTCAAATAAATATATCATGGAACTGGCTATGGCATATTGGGTTAAGCCAGCATTTGCAGCATCAGCTTTTGATATGGGTGTTGGTTCAAGTCCCAGCTGCTCTACTTCAGCTCTATCTGTGCTAATGCAACTGGGAAAGCAACAAAAGAAGGCCCAAGAGCTTGGATCCTTGCACATCTTCACCTGTTTGTGACATTCAGAAGAGGCTCCCGGCTTGGACCAAGCTACCTCCGGCTGTTGCTGCCATTTGGGAAGTGCAGAAGCAGATAGAAAGGATCGCTCTCTTCCGCTCTCATCACCTTTCAAATAAACACTCTTAAAAATAAATAAATCGATAACTGGGTAAATATTTTTTAAAAAGAAAAAAAGAAAAGGACACCCTTATCCTAACTGGAGTGTCTGGGTTTGATTCCCGGCCCCATCTCCTAGCTCCTGCTCCCCCCCTCCCCCCATGCAGACCTGGAAGACAGGTTTTGGCAGGAGAATGAGTTGATGCCACTCACATGGGAGACTGGGTTGAGTTCTCAGTGCATGTCTGTGCCCTGATCCTAGCACATCCCTGCCACTTGGGACTCTGCTTCCAACGAACACACTGTGTGTGTGTGTGTGTGTGTGAGAGAGAGAGAGAGAGAGAAGCAGAGATGGTGACAGGCAGGAACCTGTCCCTAGTGCCATGCCCCATCTGTGCTCCCTGTCCCTGAAGGTGACCTGTTGGTAGTAGCTTAGAATCCAGCTGCCTCCCACCTGGAGGAACAGACACTGGCTCCCTGGCCAGGCTGCCCATGTTTTTGCGTTGCCCAGGGACTCTAGACATTAGCCAGGCGTCTCTCGCACAGCCACAGCCTCTGGCCTTCAGAGATGCGTGTTCTCAGTGCACGGGCATGCTGGCGGGAAGGCACGGGTTGCCTGCTTTGGAGATGCCCTAGAATTCAAGTCCTCAGGGTTGCATCCATCGACCCATTGACCCCAGACGCGTTCCTCGAGTTTTCAAAGCCACGACATGTTCTTAGGAGCAGCAACATTTCACACACAAACGAAAGAAGGGAAGGACCAAAGTCGGCCCACAAGTCAACATTGCTCACTTACAGAGAAGCAGATGAACTTTTGAAAAAAATGAGGTATGGGGTTATGTGTTTTTTGTTGTTTAAGGGAAACTTTACCGGCAAAACTGAGCTTCTGAGAGCAGTAGGGGTGCTTTCCACAGTGGGGTCAGAGGCTGTCACCACCACCTGCGTGTACTGAGCGATCGGGCCCAGGCATGGCAGCCCACAGCAGGTGTGTGCCAAGTGTGTGTGGTACGGAGGTAAGACCCAGCTGGGGTGGGCAGGAGGGAAGGGGGACTCCAGGTGGGCACACTTGGTATTACTGAGGGTACTTTCAGAGCCCATTCTCTCAGGGTCAGTCTCTGCCCTAAGGCAAATGAAAAGCCAGGGCCCTGATCCATGGAGCAGGTGGGAGATCTGAAGTCACAGATAGCTCTGGTCCCTGTGGTCTGGCCTGACCTCCAGAGACCGGAGGAGCCGAACTGGGCTGAGGTATTTCAAGCATCTTTGAGCAGAGATGGTCAAAGATTTGCTAGAGAAATGCCCACAGTAGTGGCACCAGCAGCGTTCTCTACGGAGCTGGGTTGCTCTGTCGTTCACTTACTTTCTGACTACAAGGAGAGAGCAACATGCTGGAGTTCAAGGGTCATGGCAGGAAGCTTGGACCGTTCTCTAAGAGTCCTGGTGATTTTCAGGCAAACCCATGACCATGGTAGGAGGCTGACCGAACGGGCCCGAGTCCTGTTAAGCCAGGAGCCAGGAAGTGGATGTGACAACGCCCCAGATGGGCACAGGCTGGCGCAGGGGAGACAGTCGGACTTTCCTGGCAAAGGCTTCCTGGAAAGCCAGCCAGTTTGGAAACTCAGATCTGGCATATCAGCAAAGGGGAAACTGGTCCCAATTATTTTCCAAGGCTCTCGGGCTCGCTGACGTGTGAGATTCCTGCTGGCATTAACCAGAGTTCAACATTGATTTTATTCTTCTAAAACACCTCCCCCAAGAAGATGAAAGCTACAGATTTTGACGTCCATGAGCCTAGAGTGGTTGTTGTCTTGTTTTAAGGTAACCTCATCATTTTCTTCCATTGAGCAAAGAGAAGAAATAACATGGGTTGGCATAGCTCTGAAAAGCCCCCTTATTCTTCCAGGGGAGAGATTTAATTTTGTAAGAGCTGTTTTGCCATAAATACAGAAATCGTAGTAACTTGGATTTCAGCCTTGAAGTTTTTCTTTCCTTGGTGTGATTTCAGATGGTACAGGGCCTGGAATTTGCTGAAGACAGCTCAATGGCTCCCCCTGAAGGCCAATATGGAGAGGTACAGGGAAAACAGATACAGACAGGAGCCTTGCCAGTGTGCCAACCAAGATAAAAGTCAAGAGCCAGACCACAAAACAGGGGTCGGCACAAGCAAGCAGCCGCACTGCTAGGCTGGTTCTGATGCCACTAAGCTGCAAGAACAGGGCCTGCATGTTGCAAAAGACTCGATTTGGGCCTAAGACAGACTTTGCGCCAAGTTCCAGCACAGCTGTCCTGAGTAACCTCTCTGACTCAGTTTCCTTTTCTGAATAAGGTAAACTATGAAATATTCTGTATCTGCAAGGGATGGATTACAGGAATCTTTCTGGACAGCAAAATCTGTAGACGCTGTCCTTCCCACGGAGTGGCATAGAGTCTCCATACACCTCCCACAAGCTTCGGTCCATCCCTGGATGACTGACAACAATGCGTACCATGCAAACAGCACATGTTGTTTAGTGAATAAAAATGTTAACAATAGCTTGTGTGTGTTTGCAATAGATACAACTATTGTAGGTTCACCACACAGCACAGGTTCCCCACATGTAGACTGTGCCAGCAGAGAACTAACTGTAATGTCTTTAAGGATTTATTTATTGGTTTGAAAGGAGGAATGAGAGAGAGAGAGAGAGAGAGAGAGAGAGAGAGAAAGATCTTGCATTCATTCATTCATTCACCAAATGCCTACAGCAGGAGCCAGGCGCCCCACCTGAGTTTCACACAGGTAGCAGGGTCCTAAGCAATTGAGTTAGCATCCCCTGCTCTCCCAGGTGCATTAGCAGGGAGCCAGATCAAAAAGCAGAGCAGCCTGCAGGACACCTGACAGCGATTGCTAACGCTGCAACCTGCAGCCTAGCATGCTGTGCCACAAGCCTGCCCCCACAGTCGCAGTGTCCCAGGAGCTTCCCCTGTGGCAGGCTCTGTCCCAGGTGCTCGGTGTGGGATGTGCTCTTAATCCTTTTAAATCTCATTTATGTTTAAATGAAAAAATGGAGACCCAGACTAACCCTGGGACCTGCACCCACTGGTAGTTGGCAAGACCAGATGTTAACCGAAGAGATGTGGCCTGGAGTCTGGACTCACTGCACGTCCCATTCCTGACCCTGCTCTCCTAACCAGGCCGCCTCAAGGCCTGGAGAGAAGGATCCGTGCTTGGCCAAGGCTGGCATACAATAAACACCTAAGAGTGGCTGTAACTGGACTCCCAGTCTTGATTCTTTCATGAAAGTTCCCACAGAGAATCAGCAAAAGGAGGTGATGAAGGGGACAGAGGCCACTTGCTGCTTGTAAAACAGTGAGCCTGCTGGCACAAGGCCCTTCCGGTTCATCCACAAAGGTCGCACATGGCAGGATTGCCCACCTTGTTAAACTCAGTAACAGCCCATGTCACATGTACAGGGACATCTGAAAATGATTGGAAAGTGGAATTAATTTTTAAAAAAGATTTATTTATTTTTAACTTTTTATCGCAAAGTCAGACATACAGAGATGGGGAGAGACAGAGAGAAAGATCTTCCATCCAATGGTTCACTCCCCAAGTGATTGCAACAACCACAGCTAAGCCAATTAGAAGCCAGAAACCAGGAGCCTCTTCCAAGTCTCCCATGTGAGTACAGGGTCCCAAGGCTTTGGGCTGTCCCCTACTGCTTTCCCAGGCCACAAGCAGGGAGCTGGATGGGAAGTGGAGCTGCCAGGATTGGAACTGGTGCCCATATGGCATCCTGGAGGAAGTTCCTGGTTCCTGGCTCCAGATTGGCACAGCACTGGCCATTGCAGTCACTTGGGGAGTGAATCATTGAATGGAAGATCTTCCTCTCTGTCTCTCATCCTCTCTGTATATCTGACTTTGCAATAAAAATAAATGAATCTTTTTAAAAATGTGAGTTTACTTTGGAGCAAAAGGTTTGAACTACAGGGGTTGGAGGAGTATCGTGGCACAGTGAGTTAAGCTGTAAGCTACTAGATTAGCACCCCGTATGAGCATCCGCTGGCATCATGGCTGCTGCACTTTTCATCTAGCTCCCTGTTAAAAAGCAACAAAAAGTACCACAAGACGGCACAAGCATTTGGATGGCACAAGCAGCCATGTGGGAGACCTGGCTGGTGTTTTCAGTTACCAAGTTCAGCTTTTATGCCCATTTTATCTCTCTTGCTCCTTGTGCAACTTTAGTTTTCGAATAAATCTTTATTAACATTTTTTGTGCCATGTGCCATACTTTTCATAACACACACTTGTTGTGAACATTTTAAAGACTCCTTATAGGTCACGTTTGCTTTTTGCATTCAGCTACCAGAAGCCACCTGAGTTTTCCTGCATCCTAGCTCTCTCTTGCTGCAGTGCGAGGCGGCTAAAACACGGTCCAAATCCTGCCTGCAGTCTGTTCGCACCAAGACTCAGGAGGAGGACCCTCCTTCCTGCAGAGGCGACGAAGGTCTTGCTGCTAGAGTGGCGCCGGCCATGAAGGACTCACCCGAGGAGGCGCTGGATCTGGGCTCCTCCACCCTGTTTCCTGAAGCTGCCAGTGTCTCAGAGAAGCTCCCAGCCTGTCTCTGCACGCCTGTCCCTAGTTGGGACAAGCTCATGGATTCAAGTGGGAGAAGGGCCTTTGCATTGAAGGCCCAGACCCGCCTCCTTGTGGCGGATGACTACAGCAGCGAGGAGCATCGTAGGCTGCTCGGCAAAACTGAACGTGGCTGGGAGCCGGTGTGTGACGCTTGAGGACAAGAGCAAGGAAATCTCAGAGCAAGGGTGGATCGAAGAGAACTCCAGGTACAAGAAACAGACTGTTTAAACACATTTGCATCAAGAAGTCTCAGACATGGGATTACTAAAAGGTCTCGCTGATCTGAAGTCTTCAAACAGTCCATGGGAATGCCCATCATGCAAGCGAACGCACAAATCACCAATGCAGTTCTTCCAAGATGTTTGCACCGAATAAGCTTATCTTTAAATTCCAGTTTTCCCCTGCACTTCATATGTTTAATTTTTTGAGGAAGTTCCAGACTGCATTCCATCCTGGCTGCACTGTTTTGCACCTCGCCAAATGGGCCAGGGTTCCAATCTGCTCTGGTGCTCACTGTCTTGTGACCAGAGCCACCCGACAGGTGTGACCTGACCTGACATGATGGGAAAATATGATGTGGAAATGGAGTGTCACCATGATGAGTCCAAAACCCCATTTGTAGGGTTTCATCAACAGATGCACTAAGCTAAAATCTATGTGTGAATAAAAACAGTCAATTTATGCTCATGACGGCTTTAAATGTGTGGCCTTTCTGTTTATGTGACTTAGCTCAGAAAACAGTTCCAGGTGTCCTTACACGCCAAAGGGGTCGGAGCCCCCTCTGTAGGTGTGTATATGCATGTATGCATTCCCCCTATGTTTTAAAGAAAGGACAGGTGTGTTTGGGGCCAGGAGCAGTGGGAAAAAACCTTGCTGTGTTTGGGCACCGTTTTGGTGCCAAGTGTCTCTTAGAGGAGCCGTGAATGGATACTAGCTGGATTTCCAAGGCAATGTAGTCTTACTTTATTTTTTCGGAAGGTGACCGGCCTCATGGCTGCAGCCCCAAGCCCTTGTGCTCTTCACCCTTCTGCCCGGGTGCGATGCAACGCAGTCAACAGCCTCAACAGCTGTATCAGAGAGATGCCAGGAACCACCCTCCTGAGACCATTCTGGAAGCAGAGGGTGGTTCAGCAGGCTCTTACCAGGCTCCATACTGCTTGTTGCGGGAAAAGCAAGGAGCTGACCCACGGACGGAGCGAATCTGCCGCGCGGGACCAGAAGGCAGGGATGAGGGGCATGTGGTCACTCAGGGCCACCCTCTTCCCATGTGAGCAAGCAGGGCACTGAAGCCTGCGGGGACAATGTCTACACAGTGGGGGCTAGGGTCTTCCATACGGGTGTGTACAGTGGTAAGTGGTGGGAGCCAGGCCAGAAAGTGGCAGGTCTCAGAGGAACAGGAAGTGTTGCTGGGAGCTAGGAATCCATACCTGTCCTGGGTCTGGAATGACCAGGACAAAGAGACACGAGGTGAGTGTGTGTGTGTGGGGGGGGGGTTCCCAAAGAGTCAGCGCAGGTTTCCTGAGGCTCAACATTTTTAAAAGCACTTTGACAAGGACAAGATAATGACTTGGTGACCACCAAGTCAGTTATACATCCATTTCTTCTCTCTCTCTCTCTTTTAAGATTTACTTATTTTTATTTGAAAGAATTACAGAGAGAAGGAGAAGCAGCGAGAGCAGGGGATTTTCTATCTAGTGGTTTGCTCCCCAAATGGCCGCAGCAGCTGGAGTGGGTTTGTCCAAATCCAGAGCGCAGGCGCTTCATCTGAATTTCCCGCATTGGCACAGGGCCCGAGCACTTGGCCCATCCTCTGCTGTTTGCCAAGGTGCACTAGCAGGAAGCTGGATTGCAAATGGAGTACATGTGCATCCATTTCAAATTGGAAGCTCAAACTCATCACAAAGAAAAACCACTGTAGGACCCAGCAGCATTGTAGCCAAATGCCTAAAGTGACGTACACGTGCTAGAATTCTATATGGCCGCCAGTTCATGTTCCAGCTGCTCCACTTCCCATCCAGCTCCCTGCTTGTGGCCTGGGAAAGCAGTAGAGCATGGCCCAAAGCTTTGGGACCCTGCACTCATATGGGAGACCTGGAGGAGGCTTGTGGCTTCTGGCTTCGGATCAGCTCAATTCCAGTCATTGCAGCTACTTGGGGAGGAAACAGAAGATCATTCTCTCCTTCTTTCTGTAAATCTGTCTTACCAATAAAAATAAAATAAAATTTAAAAAACAACCCAAACAAACAAATAAACAACAACAACAACAAAAACCAAAATCGCTTCCACCACAGACATCTTGGGAGACAGGGTCAAAACAGATAAGAGGAAATGTATGCCTGGAGGAGGGGGCAGCACTGGGCCCAGGAGAAAAGTGACACCACCACTGACCTTCTCACTCCACAGAAACAAAGGTTCCTGAAAAACTCAAAGAGAATCAGAAGGCTCAGTCACACCTCAAGGAG